TGGGGTGGGGTGGGGGGAAATACTCCCTACCACAAGCAAATCCTAAATGATTTGTGACATTATTCACAGGATTGATCTCGTCAAGATTCTAAAGTGGTCATCAGATGGATGCCAAGTTGCTTATCAGCACATCTGTTCTTAAATCAGTCCCCAAACTGTTTGTCTCGGCATCTGAGTTATGGACGATTTGGCCGCAAGCACCTTAAGTAAAAAAAAAAGTGTGCCTTTCAAGTATGCCCAGGTCAAAGAGAAAATAATTGCGGCCGTTTTGGAGGGACAAACAGTATATTCTCTTTTAACAGTAAGCATTGTCTTGCAGTACCCATTTTCGCAAGGAGACGAACAAAACTGAGTTGGGGATGAGAAGGAGCAGAGTAAATATTGGCAAGGGGGCAGCATCCTGGCTGACAAATCAGGAAATGTGGGATGAGGGTTTCCCCCCCCCCAACTCTGAAATTAAAAACATATTAACGTGCTGAGGGTAAACGTTATTTTTTTCCCTACGATGGATATCTGACCACGTTTAGACGGATTGTAGCACAGGAAATCAGAGCTTTAAGTTGCTCGATTCATGAGAATCTCTCCGGCTCAGTGGTTTTTACTAAGTGGTTTTTACTAAGTGGTTTTTACTCAGTGGTTTTTACTAACTTTACTAGCCCATGAAGAGAATTCAGTCTTGGGCTACCAATATCCATGCCACAAGGACATGGATGGATTTGTCGTTAACTATTGTGTTTCCCCGAAAATAAGACAGGGTCTTATTTTCTTTTGACCCACGAAATAAGCGCTTGGCCTTATTTTCGGGGAGGTCTCATTATTTTTGAGGTGCAGGAGGTGGTGAGCGTGGTCACTTCATGGCTGCTTCGGTGTTGCAATATTTTCGCAGAGGGCTGATTTTCGGGGGGAAACAGGGTCGAAGGGAACTAGTTCAGTGGCCCCAGAGTAGCAAAATTAGGCTAGATGGACATGAGCTAACTTAAAGACAGCTTCCCAAATACCTAATGGCATTTCCAAACATTATTTTTAAAGAGGTTTTGCTCCGTGAAATCTTGTTTCCTTCACCAGCAGTTTTTTTGGGTCATTTGATTGCTAAGAGGCATCACACAATCCAGGACAATACACACTGCACAATTTTCTCATTTCTAAAATCCCGAATGCATTGAGTTTTAAAACTCTGGCTCCGTAAAAAATCTCATTTCCTTCTCTGAGCAGCCTTTTTGGCTAATTTGATTGCTAAGAGGCATCACACACCACATGATCCAGGACAATACACAACACACAATTTTCTCCTGGTTTTTTACAATCCCAAAGGTGTCCAGTCTTAAAATTCAGGAGAAGCTAGGAATAAAAGAATTTCTAGCGTGCCTTTCCCCCCCAAATCATTTCTTGATTGCTATTTAGCAGGGCATCCAGATTTCAAAGGTTAGCTGGGTTTATTGCAAGCCCTCGAATGGGATGGAAACAAAATTAAAACTCTTTATCTCAGCTCTTCCCCACAAAGAAGCCAACTTGGTCCGTCCTTGAGAGGGTGGGGAAGCAGAAATTTTAGCTTGGTCGGCAAGGGGGCGAGAGAGGCTACTGTGGGTAAAAATTGCTGATGACTTCCCGGCAGAACATGTTCAGGAGGGTTTTCATCCAGAAAGTGACGTCTGGAACACAGACCTAGCAAAGGATACCCCGGGACGGAAGACCGGCTGCACGTTTGACATGCACCCACGCTGGTGGTTGGGAGATCCTGCTGGTCCCAGCAATGACATCTGCCGGATTTTGAGGCTTCGGGAACGGATTATTTTCCAGACTTGGGAGTTTGGGCCCCTGTAGTGGAGGACGGCAGCCGATGCATGGATCCTGCTGGATTTCTGCTTTTCCTTTTGTGCAAGCTTTGACAACGGCAAACTTTGCTGGATTTCACCTCGGTCTGGCACTCTGGTGGACGAGGGACCGAAAAGCGCCTTTCGAGACACTTTTGAATACAACGGACGGCAGAGCGCAAAAGTCTGAGGAAGAACTCTTCTATCCGATGCTTGGAGGGCGTCTCACCTGGTCTCTGCACCCATTTTTTTTCTTATCTCTGGTTATGAGTGGGACGGGTCTTGGGGTTGGGGGATAATCAAGGGCTTCAAGAGGGGTGGGGGGGAAAGAGTCATTCTTCCAAACTTCCCGCCGAGCAAAATTAAGGCCGAGAGGCGGGACAGTGGTCTCATTCGAATGGATGGGTGTCTTTGGAGAGGAGGGGCTCAGAGTCCTTGTTGATTGCCGGAGACAGCTGGGGGGTTGAGGCTGCTCCCACCAGATTCTGGAAGGTCTCCTGCTGGTGCTGCTTGGCTTGGTTATACAGTATCACTCCGATGGTCACCAGCACCGTCCCGATGGCCGAGAGGCTGGTGATCTTGTTCCCGAAGACAATAATGCTGAGCCAGATGGACAAGGCGTGCTTCACCGTGCTGGCCACACTGGGGGAAAGACAGGAAAACAGGAGGAGACTGAGAAAACGGGGAGTGATTTCATACTCAGGAGTTGCCTGGGTATAACAGGTAGGAATAGGTGGGGATTCTGGTTGGATCCAGACCCAATTAGATAACCTCGGAAAACTGACTGAAAATTTTAATACATGACAAGAGAAAAGAGAAACACCCCTTTGGCTGTTACTCTCCTGCTCTCTTAAGCAGGGTTGCTGAGACAAGGCAAGCTTACAGCCCTTGCCGTACGGCTAGAGATGATGGGTGCTGCAGTCCAGCTGCCCCAAGAGGGTCTCGGGATCGGGAAGGTCATGCTAAACAGGAGCCGGGAATCTTTGCCAAGTTAGATTAAGTCACCCCATGGCTTCCTTGTAAATCGACACCTGAAATAAAGGAGCTTAAAGGAAGACGATCATCTTCATCATCTTCATTTAACCACCCCGTAATCCCTTGTGGGGTGGAGTCTGGGCAACTGCATGGAGCTAGCGGAGTGTTTACTGGCCGGATGCCTTTCTTGTCACCAGAGCGGAGTCTTTTCTTCCAGCA